TAAACTGTGCAAGAGAATTAAATCAACCAATACCGGTTTAATCAATGATAAAAGTATTTCTAGGTGGGACTAGTGAAGGATTTATGATCAGCGTATAACGATTCTACCATTACCACTACTACTACTACTACTACTACTACTACTACTACTACTACTACTACTACTACTACTACTGCTACTACTACTACTACTACTACTACTACTGATTGTGGAACATTTATGGCCCTTGCGTTGCGTATCAGTTTAGAGCTAATCCACGGTATTTCGGAATCAGAAAACGACACAAATTATGAGAACAGCAGATTTGTTGGTTTCCTTCGGCAGAATCAATGATTGTTTTCCCCTTATAAAAGTCAGAATTACGGTTTTCCGACACCAGATCATTTCTCTAGGACATATGAAAGTCCGTCTAAAATCAATCGTTAATTGGCTGCCTCAAAACCGGAAACCTTGACATTATCTGTAGTATTCACTCAATTACATCAATACTATAATCTTTGCCGAAAAATCTAGGGTTGTCCACGCCTATGAAATGGCATGTCGTTCTCCGCTTACCCGGTTGCCAAACTACCGGCGGTGTCTCCTGTACAACACGTGTTCCTTGATACAGAATCAATCGAAAATTATAGAGTTGCACCGCGTCGGATAAATGCACTTCCGTTTCTCCCGAATGGGGTTTGGCGACCAAATAGTCCTCACAGTCCTTGGTTCCTCCAGTTACGGAATTATCTCCTGTTTTAATTGGGCTATCAGATACCTGAGTTGAATGAGGAGAATTTACATCCGAGTTTGTTTCATTCTCCGGGACATCGATTTCCTCTCCATTGGATCGTTTATGTCTTCGAAGATCATACAGGCGATAGGAAGAGGATATGCTTGAGCTCATTGCTCTACCGATTGTCTGCTTTTCACCACGTTCTGTTGGTGCAGGATATGCACCACGGCGGCAAACGCGCAGGACCAGTCTGGTAAATCGTGGATTGCCCGGTGGACGAAATCGAACCACGGTTATGGGGCCTCGTTGAACTACAGCCACGGAACTTGGGAGAATACCATCAGATTCTGAATACAGGTGAAAGAGAATTACAAAATAGTATATAATTAGATGCAACTAAAATCCGTTTTCTATTAGGGACTTCTCAGTAAATTATACTCCTTCATAGAATATGGTGATTGAAGACATATGTCGCGATATGTCTTCTTTCGGCTTTGATGCGATGGATAAAGGGGACCTAGTGTTTAAAATATGGTGATTATCAATGAAAAGGTGCAAATTGTGAATTACGCAACATAGTGATGCTATTTTATGGCACTTACCAGATTTGCGGACAAGTTGAAATGGGAACTCCTGTACACCCAACTTGTGCCGTAACTGACAAATGTATTCCCCAAAATCCTCCGGTTTCACTTCCAAAAAGTTCAGTATGAACGTTAAATTTCCCTGCTCGCCGGTACCCTTCTGGGCGACAATGTTCAACCGATCCGACTTGCCACCGCCAACCTGGACACGGGTTTTTCCACTCAAACTGTTCGTCATTCGACGTCGTCGCTTTCGTCCCATGTCATAGTCGTAAAACTCATCGTATCCCAAGTACGGATGATAGCCCATAAAGAAAGTGTCTGTTCCGTGTGAATCTGATAGCGAGGTGGGCGGTGAAGGATGAATGGACTGCTCATCATTGTTCAGCTGAAACCAAATAGCATCAGCCCATGGTGGATTGGCATCGATGAATAGCCTGAATGCCACCGATTCACCCGTATGAGCTTGGACACGTGACCGTGTGCGTCTATCTATCCGTGGTTGGTCTAACGGGTAACATGTTGACAGAGAAGGGAAACAATTTATTAGACGACAAGTATAACATGATCATTATCTCCTTTTAGAGAGTCTTATCCTCGTTGAACATTTTCACAGCCATGATAAAGTCACGACAAAATGATCATCATAGCGGAGTAGTGAATAAACGAATCAGGAATTGTAAACTTAATATCGGTATTTCTCTGTCCGTGATTTTGGTGTGCAATGAGTTGCCGGGGGTGGATGGGTAAGCAGTCAAATCAGCCTCAAACTAGTGGAGACATTATTATACTTGGTTTGTGCCTGGGAGTCGTGGGACGCAATATTCTCGGAACTGGACAAGTGTACACTAATGATGGCGATACTTGGAGTTTAATTTCAATTAATTTGTTTGTTCTGTGGATTGTGCATATTGAATAGAGAGCCCCAAACATTTCGTTCACGGCAGGTTTGCTTCAGGCTCGGCAAACTACAATATTTTTTTTAAAATTGATTAGTCCGAGCCATTTTTGTTTTGTTTCCCTTGACGGGTGAATATTAAAGCAAACCATTGGAACAGGTCGTAGAATAATTGGAACACTATCTATCCTACAGAGTCAACGTCTCACAAATACCATTAAATCGAGTGAGAACTATCATCGTGGCTTTCATTTTTGGTTGGGACCACCATCGGTGCCTGTAACTGGAGATCATTATGGCTTGAACCAAAGTACGCATGGCTGTGTGTGTCCTTGATATACCTTTTGGATTACTCAGAATAGCTCAAGCGTTTGGTTTCGCACCAACGCTCAGTCGCACAATACCCAGCCGCTACCACTTTTGGACGTTTTTGCTAATTGTCACGGGGCCACAGGTTGTTGCACAGTGTTCTCGAGTTCGTAAAGTTGCCTGTGTATCGTGTCACCTGTGAACTAAGTTAACGAAGCAAGTGGAACATTAACCTTTTATAAAAAAGCACAACTTTAACAAAAGTGATTTTGCGATATATTTAAGTGAAGCCAAATCAACAGATTGAAAGGGAGACCACTAAGCGGCTGCCTAATGGCCGAATCCGGACACCGTTAATACCAAAGGACTGAATGAGTGATGCAATATGTTGCCGGCCTTTGCGGAAATAGTTTTGTCCACATCCATAAATGTTGGGGCAATGTAAATAATGAAGTAATTTAGTATGAGAAAAGAGGTTTACAATGGTAGTGAATTTCCTCGGGATAGCCGATAAAGAGCACCAGAAATTTATTCATCTTTATTCGAGCCCGTTAGCAATGCGTCGTGCATTTCCATACTCATGTGTTACACCTCAAGTGGGTCACAGAGATGTTATATTCACATTCAACTCGGAGTTACTCATGAGTAGTGAATTACATTACCCACTTCCGACAAGCGTTTTGAGCTACTAATGAGTAGCGTGTTGAAATCCGTATTATGTTGACCAAACATTGATTGGGGAATAATTTTCAAACACCGAAGTGTTGAAATTGCGCAATCTGCTGCTCCACTGGAATCATGTGTGTATAAATGCACAATTCATGTGGTGATACTCGAGCGTTATGAAAAGAAATCACAATCAGAACCGTGTTACCAATGCCATAATATTTCGAAGACTATTCCAACCTGAGAACGCAAAATGAATGCAACCCCATCGAGAATATGATCGAGAAAATAATGCTAAGAAGGAACAAAACAGTTAATTTAACGCAGGGGCTACCAATCTGATGATCTATGGAAACTGAAATTGAACTAGTAATACTCCTCTATATCGTCCGGATGTTTATAAGCACACATTGAACCTCACCGAAACTTAACTATGATACGTGGCGGGATACGAGGCAATTGTCGAGTATTTTATCACGCTGGTGCAGTATTGTGTCTTATGCTTGGGATATATGCCTACGCTGTATTCTTCGATGAGTTACAAGATAAACTATGATACATATTTATATTTGCAGTACTCAGTTGGTAAAGCAAATCAACCTAAATATTGTTAAGTAAATGTGAATTTAAGTTACAGCTAAACAAATACACCGCTGTCAGAATTATCACCAAAACATCGTTGTTTCATTGGGAAAAATAATTTTGCACACATGCGTTAGACAAGTAAGCGTTGATATGACCCAACAGCAGAATATGTTTCGATTTGATGAATTCGCAAACCAAGAGCGCTTATACATAGGAAAAAATTGAAACTCTGTCCAATAACATGGAGTCTTTTAAATACCTTCAGGAAAATTATACGGATGTCACTTGGTTGGGAAAAATAATCTCGATCTAAGCAAAAAATAGTCAGGCTAAATTTCCTTCAAACGAGCCAGCGCACGAAGCTGACCTTAGCGAACGGCAGAGGGTTGTACTCTTATTTGAGAGTGTCTGTCATTTGACGTGTTTTACGAAACATAGCAGATTCTGAGATAAATAGCAGATAGAAGTGAATGCTTTCTCTCATAATCAAATTGAAGAGAATCTCAGACGACGAGAATAAGCCAATGGTTAGACAGAAAGAAAGGTGATTATAACGGTTTAATGCAAAGCATGTAAGCTGTTGGAAATTAAAACCATCACCACTTTACTTCCCACAACGCATTTGAGAACCATACCAAAGAAAAAGCCCATTGTCGATCATCAATTTTGAGACGATTGGCTTCATTCGTGTAATTTGTAACCCTGTAGCATTCGTTACATTAGACACACAACGGAACACATGTTACAAAGATTAACTTGTTGTCAAGTCTGCATAAGGCAATAGCTCAGAGTGTAAACAGCCCAATCCGGATAAAGAAGACAGGTCAAAAGAGGCCACGGACGTGATCCAGGAATGGCGTTCGAGACTTAATTTACAACATCGAGGCTTCCCATCACCCGAAAAATCCCACACAATTTAAATGATAAATCCATAGGCAACGGTACTGGATTCAAACGCTTCTTTTACCATAGGGGTCATGGTTTTCGCAAAGACAGTTCCTTCTTTCAAACCCATTCCAATCCTTTGAATTTAATCGCACATTTCCAGACCTGTTTTACAAACACAGACACGCATTATTAACATCATCTTCCCGTTTGATTTCATGTGACTATGTAACGCTTGTCAACCGCGCCAGTAATTTCATCTCGTTGGACTTTCGGGTCCATTAGATTTTGTTTCCTTAACCCTGCTGGTTTGTCGTACACCCCAATCTATGGAGGGTCTGCCTAACAGGGTTTCCTCATATTCCCATGTCCTCCGCAGTTTCATGTCCGACGCCACGCAACTTCACATCGATATTAGGAGTCACACGAGCCAACAACACGAGCCAGAGCACCAAATAGTTGCGCACTGGTGTCGGCTCCGCTTTGCCCGGACCACACTCGCAACTGCAATAACACGGAGTGATTGCTCTATCACCCAACACGAACTTGTACCGTTTCTCATTTGTCCAAATGGACACCGAATGAATGAAATCGATAAGAGTCAAACTGCTTCCACGCCGAGAAAGTTTAAGGTGCACTTAGTCACTGTGACTGAAATGATGTGAGGCTATGCTCTATGGACAACCCCATCGATTTCGATCTTAAGAAAATTCTAAAAAGCATCGGTTTCTCAATGGAAGGAGAAAATTGTCAAGGAATATTAGTCTACCACCTAAACAGCTTGACATACCGACCCCTGGCAAAGGAATTTTGTCATGTGAGTCGTTTGAGTTTTCCCGGATGATAACCTCGGGACCAGCATAAACATTCAGATACACGCGGACGTTACCGCTACCAGAAGTTAAAACATTCACATAAATCTCGGAAAACTACATTTTCATAAGGTTTTACAACATAAATGATAAAATATTTTGATCAGTTTGATCGAAAAGCTTTTTTTGACAAGAGGTCAAATTTCATCAATCTGAGATAAACTCAAAAGAAATAAATCCAAGGTGAAACTAATTGATTCTCAGTGAAAAATTGCAATCGCTCATTCACCATCATTCAGCCATGTCTGAATTTAACTTTATCTTGTCAAACAGACTTCAATTGGGTAGGCGAACATATAACTTTTTCAAATTAACTGAAATTAACCTCCGGGAAATTGTAAGCGTTCCATGCTTGTATAAAGCTGCAGTGTTTTCCCATTCATAACAAAACACGATCAAACGGCATGTGGAAGGAGCAAAGTGGAGACGAGATGTAGAAATCCGCATCCGGGGACAGGTCGATGAAGAATGATGGACAGCTGTGAAACACAGAACAGGTTGAAATGCGGTTCCATGTTCTTTCTCGCTTCTGCTCTTACAATCCCTCCCTCAGTTTCTGTATCTATCCACCAACTCTCATAGCTTTCTACACGTTAGAGTATAGATTAGACAAGGGAAGCTCTGCCAGCAATCATTATGCCTGGTTTCCAGCATGTGCACCGGGGCCGCCGATGGACATGTGAGGTGTATTAAGGACCACGGCTTATCCTGTCAAGACGAAGAGAATTTCATGTCCCCTACCCCCCACACATATCTGACCTTGAAGTGGTTTCAACGGTGCGAAAAACGCAAACAGAGATACCGATCACACGCATCTTTCAATAAAAAACAACAACATACTGGTCTACAGACGTGCAAACATCTGTCCATTTTGTGTGTTTGTGTGTGTGTATGTAGGGGTTCTGGACCTGTTCGGTTTTGCGAGCGTTTGTAGTCCAAACATTTTCTGTCACAATTAAAGTACGTTGATGAAAGTTATTCTAGAATTATTACTTTCAGAGAAACCGTTTATGTGACATCCACGTAAACATTTCTGAATTCATTAATTTATTAAAAAGATTGGCAATAACCTCCTTGTTCATGGCTTGAATAGCCCTGAAAATAAATGTTTTTGGGTACGGCCAAAAGCAATGTATTTTGTTCTTCTGATTCTCGTTGGAATTCTATTTTGATAATTTTCTCAAATCGAAATTCCCACTTCATTATAGGGCTCTATTCTTAAAAATACGGGCTTTGACCGATTTAACAGTGATTGAGGAATCGTTTAGTTGCAAGCACTATCATTTTAGAGTCACATGATTTCAATCTCTCTCCCCCCCAGAGTACAATTTGTCATTTATGAATTTTATAAATGGGTGGCCACATTTTTTCTCTTCAGTTCTGTTGGTCATCGAGATCACCTTTTCCCGACTGGACTCTAGCGCGGTTCAAATTAGACAACATGGCATAAAATCCCTTATCGAAATGAACAACCATTTTGTGCCTGGAGGAGGTTCGGCGCGCCCCGCAATCATGTACATATTTGTGCTGTGGCGGGTGGCGTTGCTGAGAACTCACAGAAAAGATCCAGAAAGTACGTCGAATGTGACGCTCCACCAGCACTGGCCACTTGACAAGCATACCAGCCCCGCTGAGTCAGTTTGACATTTGTCAGATTCAAATGCGGCTCTTGATGGGAAGTGAGACGAAGCATACTTTTCAGTGATGGGGCTCCATTTTTCTGTTTTGTCAAATGCTTGTCACCACTGCCCGACTGATCGATTGGATTCATTGCTGAATTTGCCTGAGACCCATCCTCTGTCCGGTTTGTGTCCGCCACGGACAGGACACCAGCCAGTTGAAATCGGTCAGCCGCGAACCAGGAGTAGGTAAAACCGGTCTGTGGATTCCCACCGGATGTCTGACACGAGAGCAACACGGTCTGACCAACCAGGGGCTCAGTCGGGTGACTAATCAGTTGTACCATGGTGGGATCTGGGTTAAATAGCCAGTGCGGGGACGAAAAGAAAGAGGATAACGCGAGATCACAATTGACGCTGCAAATGTAATTCTCTTGTGACTTTTATGCAAGAATTAGACTGTTAAAACAATTTACGATCATCACCGGCGACAATGATGCATTTTTCGACCGTCATCATCTCTTTTCTGCTCTGTAGACACGAATGGGAGAAATTAAATGGGCTATTCTGAAAGTTATTCGAGATTATTTATATCTCGATTTATATCTAAGAAGTTTCCTTTGTTCAGTTTTTGGTTGTGCTTTTACATTAGACTAATAGTACAAATAGTTGGGAGTTCAGGATGTGGATGATAAGGTGATGCTGGGGCACAAAACATGAGCGCCAGTTTGCCGTGCTCAGTGTGTCTTGAAATTTGTCACCAATCACTACACGGGAGTATTTACTGTCACAGAGCTCCACACATTGATCGGGATTCAGTTAGTCTGCTAAGGCAAATCGTTTGAATGATTGATCAAAACAAGTTTTTTGTCATATTTCGTGGAAGCGTAGACAACATGTACACTTTTCATGTCCTTTATTTTTCGCGACCCATTCTAATGTAATGTAATTTTTAGGCTCACGGTGGTCTGGCGGGGGAGATCAATCCAGAGTTTTTGAAGTGCAAAAATATCATCACCGTCACCGAAATATTTTCCCATTCTGTGTCCCTCAGAAAGCGACTGACCGGGGCCACAATCATTCCCCTTTCTCGGCCGTTCATTGTCATCAGAAAAGTATCAGAACGAAAACAATACAGAACGGATGTTCATCTCACATCCCGTACAGTAGAGGCTACACGAAGTATCGTGCATTCAATACACAATCGCGACGCGACTGACCGGTTAACATATGACTTGCAAGCAAAACTGGCAAACTTGGGAGTGAAAAATCAAGTGGGAATTATTATGGGCACGTCTGTTATAGAACACGCTTGCATGGGGTTACAAATGTCATGAAAAAAGTAATATAGAACACAATGATGCATTGCTATGATTAACTTTGTGGATCATTCCTGACAAACCATAGTTAGCGGTTCTTCTGTTTTTATTAATGATGGATTGCACTCGCGGAGGAGAAAGACTATGGTGCCTATTGCACTGATGTCAACTGGGGCACGCGAATTAGAGTCTCCTCTATCCATGAAAACTGTTCGTGAGAAACATTCGGTTTCCTTGTGCTTGGTACTAGAAGTGTGCAGGGTCCAATCTAAGTCTAGCAACTTTCTAAGATACCTAACAGTCAGTGTGTGTGTGTGTATGTGTGTGTGTGTGCAGAATGAAGGAGTTAGGTGTGGGAGTCCAAGCAATGTGCACCAGGTGTAATCTGGTGGGACATTGTCAACAATGTGTGTATCCGTCAGTTGCCTTCATTAACGATGAAGCATGTGCCTTCACGGAAAGAATTCAAGCCCTCCCTTTCGTTGACCACAAATTATTGAACAGTTTGTCAGTTTCGTGACTTGCTCAACGTTGAACTGGCATCTGGTTAGAAATATCTCAAACTTCAGGACTCGTTTTGTCCTATATACACATCGTGGTTTTTTCTTTGTTGATGAAATATGTGATTCCGAGATGAATTTTTCCGAATCCGTTTCAAACCCGAGGGACACGGGATTGGAAAAAAGCGGTCCCTGGTTATTCATCTAATACTCACACAATAAGAGCGAGGCAAACTAGATATTATAGTGTAACGTGGCCGATACAGGGCGGCTGTAGACATCAATGCTCCACGAGACCACAAATTGACACTAATGAGCGGTATTCCACCTATACCGGACTGAACAGCTGAGTCGGGACGGGGGGCGGAGGCAGCGCATCGAAAACACTCACACAGATCAGTACTCCCCACCAGTTGTCACTCACTCACTCACTCACTCACTCACTGAAGCACTCAATCTCGGAGTTCTTTAATTTACCCTTCTTATTTTGCTTATCGTCTGTGATCCTGATCTACCGGGCCGTTGATCTGTGTGCATGTGTGTCCGGGCATGAAGCGACCCCCGTCACTTTCCGCAAATTGACATGCTGTTGCGTAATTCAGGGTACCAGGAAGTGGGGCCCCTCGGGGTAGTGGTTCCAATTACGGAGCAAAGAACCAGGTGGAATACGCACACTTGTATCGAACCGCGCCCGTACTGGTTAATGTACGTATCTACTGCTACATGCTTGCGGTCCTTCATTCGCTCCGGCTCGCACTATATGCAAGATTCACTAATCAGCATCCAGTTTAGTGGTCTTGGTGAAACGAACGCTTTGCGTATCCCGGAATTGGTTGGTTTATTTGAATTCTGGAAAAAAATGGAACTGAAATATATGCAACAATGAACAGCACGACAGTTCTCAAATGTGCAACAAATCTGATTATCTTATGCAGATTACTTGAGATAGTAAATGTTGTAGTTTAAAAATAAAGTAAAAAAAGTATTTTAAGAGAAGGAGATTTGGAATAATCCATTCAAGTTTTCCCAGACATCAGCCACTGTTTGTGGTCTCATCGCATATAAACGTGTTCAACTAGCGGGGAATCAAGGATCTCCCGAGGAGTAAAACACACCCAAGGCCATCAAATTGCCTGGTACCTCTAGAGCAATCGAACGGATTATTCCGAATTTCCTACTCCCAAGTATCCAGAACCATTTTCCTAAGGTGATGACCGTCGGCCGTGTTTGCGGTTCGAGTCCTGACAGCGATACACAGCGATACACACAGAGAATCACAAATAGGATGAAACAGCTGTCCAGTGAGTGCTCGTTGTCGTTCCTCACAAATCTTTCTACTGCTTAAAAGATGTTTCTAAAGTTTGGCTGTGAATCCTTGCCCAATGACCAACAAACAACAATCGACGGGTCTTATGAGCGTCATCAACAGTGCGTAAGCCTTATTTTCTCCATACAGGAACTCGAAACACGGACCGTTAGGATGGAATTCNTACGAGCTGAACGGTTAATGGTCAACACCAGCTCGTATTTTAAGGTTTTTGCTTTTCTCCCTTAGGTTAGAGGTTCGAATCCCGCGTGATACGCACAAAATTATACTTATCGGTGACAGAGAAAGCAGCTGTCCCATGCTTTTTTTCGGTCATTGCACAAGGGTTTAATACCAAGAATATTCGAATCGAGTGCATAGAGGGTTGGTAGACATCCAAAGAGCGAGACCCACAGTGATAAGTTCATTCCGCAAATACTTTTCTTGTGATGCCAAATGGGATGTATCCAGAACATGTTAAACGAATTTTTTTTGCCTTTTACTTATTGGGGGATAAGGTGGTTGAACGTCCCACTAAATGTATGCCAGGAGACATGAAGGCCACCGTAGCTTAGTAGCACAGCTGTGATGGAACACGTGATCCAAAAACAAAGGTGTTGATTTGTTTTACGGTTTGAGCTGAGAAAAACGTTCCATTTGGTACAAAATTTGGAAAATTGAAAATTCACTTGTAGAACAAATCACCAAAGTAACAGACGATGTGGTTATGCTCGATCACTTCCATCGGTAACTTAAATTTCTCCATTAATCCTTATTTCGTCTCATTGTTCGAATGCAGCCCGCCGCACCGACAGTAATGAACTGACCAATGGGGGCAAATATCTATTATTTCAGTTGTATCCTTTGCGTTGGCCAGTTCAAATTTTACAGACAGTAGATACTGTTTATGGTCTTGGGTCTTGGACACTTCCTATAACCAGACCTAGTAGCAATCTGTCCTAAAATTTTAGTTTCGGAAGTCATTTCAAACTTGAATTCAGGTCATCAAAATTCACACTGCAACGAGTACAGTTCAATTATTCCATGAAATCTTTCTCGTTCAAACAAAAATACTACTTCTCACATAAAACAGTCGTCAAAAGCTCATTCGAATACGGCTTCCGGTATAGACATTCTGTATAATTGACTATATAAGACAAAAACTAATTTGTCTCGGGTAGCAGAGATTAGAAGATCTTCTCCATCAAACCCAGCCCAATGTGATTATCTTGTTATCAACTTCACTTCTTGGTTGGGACAGATCAGCGACAGAAATCCGTCGATCCATTGGGGGACCGAACGCGAGACCACGTTGATTGAATATGAGCACACAGCTCGTTTGACTACCAGGCAGCTGATTTGGCCGCTTTATTTCACCGGTGAAACCCAATGTGATTTACCCAAACCTTTTCCATCAAGCCTTGACCAAAATCCGCAATACTTTGGCCTCGACCTGTTTATCTTTGGCTAGAACTGCAATGCTTTAGTCTCGACCCGTAATCCATGGGCCTCGACGCACAAACTTTAGACATTGCCACTGTAAGCGAGTGAGATCAAAAAGTATCGGAATATTCTGAGGTCAACGAATGTTGAAACTTTCTGTTTTCTACGAATGTTTATGTTGCAAAGCTTGGTTAATAAATGAATTGTGGAGAACATACGCTGCACCAAATGCTGATTAGAGCAGGTTTAGACAATGTGCCCGTATAGTGAAACTATTTGACTCATCTCGTATGTCTTCAGTGTTTCCGTAAGTGGAAACCTCAAACGTAACACAAACGGCATATTGTTTTACATTCACAAGCCCTGACACGAATCAAAAGTGATAAAATGAAAGGGAATTCTTCAGTGCCGTATCTCCTCTTAAAATGAACTCAATTTTTTTGTGGTATTGTCGATGAGAACACTACAACCGCATTGAGGTCGTTAGGAGAAACTATTGAGAAGCACTTCACAGGCACATCGATCAGCAGGACTTTGATTGATCAATTGCTGGATAGACACCACTATTCGGTTTAGAAGCTGACCATTCAGCCAGGGGAACAGAACTCGGGGAATGTCAATGTAGAAAAAGTGGAATATATCACAGCGATCGAGTAACGCAATGCGGAGGCGGCATATTGACGAAACAACATAACATATGGTTTTGTCGCAGCTACGGACGCTCCAGGTTGGGCTGTAAAGTCATTCGAATCCTCTCACCCAGCAAAAAGCTCAACTTGAGCATAATAACACGTTCATCTGTTACCGTTATCTTGAAATACAAATACAAATACATAAAGATCATTTGGCATGTTTTCACTGGGTTTCTATCATGCTGCTCAACGTTAATCGCTACTGAGCAACCGAGGGTTCCAGTGGTTTTTATCTTCGGCAATACACCCGTTCATCGGAGGGTTTTAGATGCGCAGTTGCTTGCCAACCATCAAATTCGAATTTCTTCCACCATAAAGTCCCTCTTTAACCCGCTGCAAGAAGCCTTCAGTAAATGCCAACAGGTAAGCGTTTTGAATTCGGTCATTCGCTTATAATTCGTTACAATAAATAATGGTTTCTTTCAAACGCTGAAGCCATGTAAGATGTGCCAAGTGGTTTGACGATACGCACACCCTCTCTAATCAATATATGTTACCGCATTTGATACCGTTATGACGGTCAGCTGTGCAGTATACGATCGCCACATCTACTCATTTATCACCCAAGCTTTGCAACATCAACATCTGTAGAAAATAAAATGTTTCAATATTCGTTGACCTCGGAGTATATTCCGATACTTTTTGATCTGACTCGCCTACGGAGGTATGATTAAAGTTTGTGAGTCGAGACCAAAGGACGACGAGGGTCGTGACTAAAGCACTACGGGTTCTGGTCAAAGCATCATGTGATGTATAACGCTTTCGAGCCTTTCAAATCATGTTTCTTTTGCTATGCATAGAACAAAGTTTTAAATAACCCCAATTCAATAATTTCCTATCGATTTGTAAAATGTAAATATTGTCGATTAAAATGCTACAGGGCTATAAGCCAAAAAAATTGTAGTGGTTAGTTTTTTTTGCGCACCCCGGAAAATGCACAGAAAGTGTTTCTCCTAAGTTAAATTCTTAAAGACTTATTTCTCTTTCATCTATCTACCTGTACCGTTGGAACGTGCTATTGCAAAGTGACAATGAAAACTAATGTTTATGGTGCAGATTTAAGTTCTTGATAAATGTAACTCCTTACACATATTTTCTTGTTCATTACCGGAAAAAAGTTGATACAACTATTGTTCCTCTTTTCACCTTAAAAATGCTAATTTTTATTTTTATTTTTATTCGAAAAAGATCTGGACTCCACGATTATTAAGTTCAGATTCGAGGAATTATTGTGGAGTCAGTTTTTTTTCGCATTTAACTGAAAAATACTTGTTCGTGACTTGGACTCATCACTGTTGTTGATGACTGCACATTTACCCGGCTTCCTTTCCTCTTGCAGTCTTTGGCTTGTTCATACATCTGGAAAGCACCATAACCTCGAGTTTTGCCCCCATCAGAGCTCGTCGAGACTAAAACCCTGCTCACATTGAAGATATGCGTATTGCAGCTGTGAGTCAGTCAACTCACATTGGGGCTGAGCAGAACTATCGATTCACATTTGTTCAGCTGTAGTCTTTATTCACAAACGGTCACTTCGTTTGTGCCCAGAGAAACCAAAATGGACTTCGTATGCTCTCAGTCAGCTCTGATCAAGAATATAACTTGAGATAGTTGTTCTGAAACGTTTGGTTGAATGGAAAAAAGAATCATTGTACTTAAAGATGAAGTTTAAAGGATAATCAGTCGAAGCAAATACTGCGGAATCATCCAAATAGTTTCCTAAGGAGAATAACTTGGAAAGGTGTAAAACAGAATGCTCACAGTGATACCCCTTCCTCGCTGTAATGCAAGTATATTGTTATACACGAAGAAAAAGCAATTCACCAACATTGAAAAACAAGAGTGATGTGTAAAGTCTTTTTACTGGAAAAAGCCAGGTAAACTGCATTTCATGCAA